TGTAACGATTATGGATGACTATTATACATACATGTATGTACAATTTACATAATACATGTACGTGCTTAATTATACTTTCGGTATTACATTGAAACGGAGGAACCGAAAAATTGACCGATAAGTGCTGGTAGACGCGTCGATATTTTTATATGGACAACTATATGACGTCACGCCAGTATTTGTTTATTAAATTGACCGATAAATGCTGGTGGACGGGTCGATGTTTTTACATGGACAACTATACGACGCGTCACGCCAGTATTCCACGTATTTCGATTTTCATAAGGGTGTCGACGGCGCAGCCGGCGTGTTTCACATTTCGGAGGAGAGGACTCCGTCTAGAAACAACGGCGATCGGCCGATTCAACGATTTCGGCTCGTAACGAATCCCTGCTCTCGCTGAAAAAAAAAAGAAAAAAAGAGGAGTGCGGCGAGAGGCTGCGCCGCGCTTAAACCGAGGACAGCTGGAAAATCGTTTTGTGTTTGCAGTTGAAGCCGTCCGCGGACTGTGCAGCTGCATTCACCAGAATGACAGTCTGTCCGTCGTGCAGCGGGATCACCGGGAACGTGTTAGCGTGCGGCGACATGTGTACTAACGTGATGAAGGGTTGCTTGGCCCAGCATGCGGCTCTGGACACTGAATGGAATCACTTTGTCGGTGAGTAATTTCCCGTCCATTGTTCCCCGGTAATTATGGACTCACGCCGCTCGATGCGCGATCCCCGCGCGTCGCCCAGTTGACCACTTTTATTTGCCGCGAACGGAAAACACGTAACGCGGCTCTCGCCCGTTCTCGCGTTCGTCCGACTGAATCTCGCACTGTCTTCCGGATCGTCTTGCGTAATCGTTGTGAATTCTGACGAAAGATAAACCGGTTTCTGTTGATGCATCGGGATAGTAAAAGTTCTACAAAAATCGGTGTACGTTGTTCGAAACTCTGATCTCTCGTTTAGACGAGTTTCAGGGAGGTTCGTTGGGTTTCAGTCCGTTTGTGCAACTAGGCTGCAGACCTAACGCAAATATGTATAAGTACATATGTACAACATAGAGAACATAGTATGATATAAAATATTATACTATATTATATTATATTATATTATATAATATAATATTATATTATATTATATTACATTACATTACATTACATTACATTACCATTACATTACCATTACATTACCATTACATTACCATTACATTACCACTACATTACATTACATTATATTACATTACATTACATTACATTACATTACATTACATTACATTACATTACATTACATTACATTACATTACATTACATTACATTACATTACATTACATTACATTACATTACATTACATTACATTACATTACATTACATTACATTACATTACATTACATTACATTACATTACATTACATTACATTACATTACATTACATTACATTACATTACATTACATTACATTACATTACATTACATTACATTACATTACATTACATTACATTACATTACATTACATTACATTACATTACATTACATTACATTACATTACATTACATTACATTACATTACATTACATTACATTACATTACATTACATTACATTACATTACATTACATTACATTACATTACATTACATTACATTACATTACATTACATTACATTACATTACATTACATTACATTACATTACATTACATTACATTACATTACATTACATTACATTACATTACATTACATTACATTACATTACATTACATTACATTACATTACATTACATTACATTACATTACATTACATTACATTACATTACATTACATTACATTACATTACATTACATTACCACTACATTACATTACCATTACATTACATTACCATTACCATTACGTTACCATTACATCATCGTTACATTGCCGTTACATTGCTGTTACATTGCTGTTACATTGTTGTTATATTACTGTTACATTACATTACCATTGCAATACCATTACCGTTACATTACATTACCATTGCAATACCATTACATTACATTACATTACCATTACCATTACCATTACATTACATTACATTATATTAATTCATTTGCGCCGCAGTGGTATAAAAGATGCCACTGGTAAGCTAATGGGAGAGGATCGAATTTCAGAGGCCGTGGACAAGGTGGCGGAACGGCTGCTGGGCCCGTTCAACATCGAGATGCTGGTGCGACCGATCAATCTGAAAATCTCGGAGGCGATAATGAACTTCCAGGAGACCGGGACCGACGTCTCGCAGAGAGTGTTCGCCGGTTGCGGCCGGCCGAGGCTCGGCAGACGAAGACGTAGGCGCAGGGACGACCGCGAACTGGAGCTCGAGTCGCTGAACTTCGATCAGGAAACGTTGACCGAGGACCGGAGGTCCTCGACTGCGGCCAGCCTGGACAAGCTCGTGAAGGAGATACGGCAAAGAGTCCGGGACTCGCGCCAGTTTTGGGTCTACCTGCCGTACAAACTGTGCAACGACGGCCTCGTCGTCCCGCCGAGCAACACGAAGGAGTGTTGGAACGGCACGCACGTCGACAAGTGAGTCGACGACAATTTCTTGCTCTGCACGATCGTTCGCCCGGATCGTCCTTATCCCGACACTTCGACGCGCGTCTCTTCTTTTCTTCTCGTATAATGTTACGCGTGATCCCTCGGCCCGTTTCTACTACAGAACACGCGTTCGATTCTCGAGCATGTGCCAGGATCGATGTAACAATCGCCGTTGTCTCTGCAGGCGTGTCTAAATTGAGACAATCGGTTAGAGTAAGATCCACTAATACCAGTTTCGCGAATGTAGAAAAGTGTATATATATAAATAAAGATTTATGTATATATATATATATAATATTATACTATATTATATAATATTTATTATATATATATATATATATATATATATATATATATATATATGCATTTATTATATAAAAAATATATATAAACGCAGTGCGAAATGTTTTTTCATGCGAGACGCGATCTATCGGAGGCATCGTAGATCAAATCGAGACGGCGCACAGTGGTCGAATATCCCCATAACATAGCAAAAATTCGTTCTCTATGGTCGCAAATTCCCAACAGTTTTTTTAAAAAAAATTTTTATTGCAGTATTCATATTTACGTTTATTTATATCGCGTTGTTATTTCTTGTTTATGTTATTCGTATCGATTGCCCGTTCGCGCAGGTATATATACCCGGTGTCGTTGAATGGCGAGACTCAGAGCTTGAACCCAGAGGTACGCAGCTCGGGACCGAGGCCGACCATCGTTCGAGATCAGGTCTTCGCGTTGACCACCATCACGAACAGGCTCAAGTCGGCGTACAATGGGCAGGATGTCGATTGGATAGACACAGGTGAATACAGAGCATCTTTGTGTCTCCTCTAACGGTATCCGCGACATCGTCTATCGTCACGCTCGGAAACGATAACACAACATAACCTAAAGCGTGACAGTGGAATCTCGATTATCGTCCGGTCCAAATACATTTCACGCAGCAAAATCGATTTATTGCACGGATCGATGAAAATTCAAGTCGGCGCTGTAACTAATTGATTGTTCTATCATACAGATATTATACTATGCTTTTGACCGGATAATCGAGGTTATACTGTACGACGCGAACGAATTTCGAATCTTGCGAGAAATCTGAAGTTCGCCGTTTGTTCCGTCCGAACTTTGCACAAACTGGAAAACTCGAAGCAGTTCGACGGAACGAACTGCGAAAGAGTCGATGTAAATATCGTGCACGAACGTAGCAACGGTGACAGCATATCGCGCGCTATTCACTCAGAACATAGCTGCTACAGCGGATCCATTCGCGTAATCAACGGCGATGTCCGATGGATAATGAGAATCGATTAAATGGAACGGCATTTTGCCTCGCGATAAGCTAGTTCTCGATTCATCACCGTGACACGGATTGCGGCAACCAATCTGAGGAGGTTGCCGTTTCCAACGAAGCCCTAATGGAACATAATATGCATAGACGTTCTGCAGAACATGATACGACAACTCCGGAGAGGGAAATAATTTTTCATGTATTGTAAAGTACGTTGAAAATATTTTTAAAACATCGCTGCAGCAGTTATAATAAAATAAATAATATAATAAATGAAAAATAAAAGGATAAATCGTATCCTTGTGACAGATGTAGAGACTTGAAACTTGGCTAAGATGGTTTTCCACTATAGTGATCTGTCGAATAATATTTTATTTGAAAGCAACATAAATAACTAATCAAAAGGATTCATATCGTGCCGTTATTTACAATGCCGTTGCGTGAAAATGAAAAATTAATAACACTTGAAGTAACAAAAATTTCGAATAATGAACGTTGTGTTTTATATTTCAGATGCTTTCCGTTAATAACTCGTAAATAAAGCCGCAGATCGCATTTTCGCAAAGGAAAAAGTTACTTCAAATGACCTCAGCTACCCCTTATTTTCGGCTGTTAAAATAATTGTAGAACACCCTGTATATATATACACACACAGATGTTAACCGTGCGTTTGTAATTGCAGACGAATCGGATTGGAACAGTTCGGGAAGCGGATCCGGCGGCGGCATAGACGAAGACAACACCCCGATCACGGACGACGAGGACGGGTTCAAGGAGGGTTCGGGCTACGAGCCGAAGGTGTTGCCGCCGGACACGCCGAAGCAATCACCGCCGGCGGTTCATCCCGACGCCGTGCCACCGAGGTTGGACACGGTGCCCAACGTGTCCGGCGGCAAGAGCGAGGATGGGTCCGCGGCCGGGTCTGGGTCCGATTCGAGCGGCGGTTCCGGGTCCGGTACCGGCAGCGGCGACAGCAGTACGGGCACCGGAAACGGCACCACCACCGCGGACAGCGGCGCGAGCAGACAGAAAATGTCCCTCTCGCGCGCCCTGACGACGTACCTCGTTCCCATAGTGGTTATGTGGTTCGGTGGTTGTCTCACCGAGTGGCTGTGATCGTGTGGTTTCCGAGGAGAACGTACCGCTATGTAAATAAATTCCTTTCGACCGTAACTCGCGTCCTCGGTGTGTCGCGCGAGTACTCTAAAGGGAACAATGGTCCCCAGTGGCTGCCGGCCGAGAGAGGACATCGATCGGTTCGAGGAGGCGCGCGCGTTCTCCATCGAACAATCTGACACGAACGTCGGGGGACGCCTTACGGAGACGGTACATCCCGTGGACGTTGACCAGACATACGCTGCAGCTGGCTCGAGACATCGGCAAAGAGTTTCCTCCACGGTGGAATGCTTCCGCTCGTCGACGAACCCCGCTCGGATCAAAGCGCGAGCTCGCGATGGCTGCCGGACGGCTAGGTTATACGCAGGACTCTCAAGAGGATTCCTGCGGCGATCCACCGCCGGAAGAGCGCGGTTTACAGTCGTCGTTCCTAGGCCCTGAGGTTGCCCGATGACCATAAGGCAAAATGCAAGTCGTGGTCGTCTTCGTGGCAAGGACTCTAGCAGATCCGGAAGGTCTCGACGATGCACGACGGTTCACGCGAAGCTTGTGCGAACCGAGTAACCAGACGAATTTAACCCAGACGGCCGCGAGGACCGATTATCGAGCGACTGACGGATTCGTGTGGATCGATTAGCATCATCTGTGATCCGTATTCGAGGACGAGCTTCTGAAGAGATCGCCGCAGACACGGCGACGGAAAAAGGAATTCCGGTCGGTTTCGCTGGTATACCGGTTCGGTACCAGCGAGGACAGTGGGGAGGATAGAGAGAGAGAGGAAAATCCTTATTTTTTCTTCGAGGATATGCTTGTTGAACGGGGTGTGGTTTGAACAGTTTGAGATTCTATGGTGAAATGTAAATAAAGAAGGGTGGGCGCGCGATTAAGGGTTCCGCGGCGGAGAACACGTTCGTGGAAACACGGGAACACTTCCTCCGGAAGTTTACCCTCGTGCGTTCCCGGCTTTCGAACTGTCCAACGCGTGGCTTTACGTCGCTGTAACGGAGTCACGATCGGCGCAAAGTCTTGGGAAACGATTCTCTCCATCTTGAGACGATCCTTGAGACGTTTTTTAATCGTCGACGGACGAACGTCGACGTGAAAGTCTGAAGTTCCAGGCGAACGATTCGATTATTCGGATGATCGGCGGATCAAACTTTAAGAGAGGAATATTTGATATGCTTTAACACTTTGTTAGCAACCCGCGACAAATTCTACAAAACTGAAGTATTTTATTGAATCGAATCGAAATTGGAAAGTTTAGTTGTAGAACGTGGTAAAATTAAAACTTAGTAAAATTAAGAGGATATAATAGATTAGCGTAAAGACTAATTTTCAAATCCTAGTAGATAATTCTGCGAATCGCATAATCGATGACGTACCAGTAAAAGCGTTTTAAACACTCCTTGTTCAAGAAACAGTTGATTCTGAAGAAATTCAAGAAAATATAATTTAGCCGGAAGGCATTGATAACGGAAAGAAAAACCTTTGTAACTTTCCCGAGAAAAAAGAAATCAGAATTTACAGGACTCGCGCGTCGATGATCAGATCGCAGATGGACGTTAAACCTAGTTGGACAGTGTAATCGAATCGACGTGTTTCTTTGCGCCGCTCCGCCGCCGCTGCCGCGTCATTCCAACAACCGGTACTCCGAAACGCGGTCGAAAATCGACTCCTGTGATAAAATCAAAAAAGTAAAAAAACGGTAAAAGAAGAAGAAGAAGCGCCTTGACATCATTCTGGCAACGTCGAGCCTACACGCGGGCAGAATAAAAAAAAAAAAAGAAACAGAGACATTATTCTACAAATCTAGTGAAATATTCAAATAAATATTACGAATAATTATTTGTAATTATATAATTATATATTATTATTATTATTATTATTATTATTATTATTATTATTATTAATATTATTATTATTACAAAAGCGAAATTAATATAAAAAGAAAAATTGTACGTTGCGTTCGAGATATGGTTGCGTGGACGAGGAAGCGTCAGGATCTTGCGATCCCATTTTCGCAGACACCTGCAGAGAGACGCGCCTCGTCCACGAAAAAATATCATCTGCCTTTCGCGAGACAAAGAGAGAACGACGAATTGTAGGCGTGTCCTTTCGCGCGACGCGGACGCACACGGGGCGTAAACCTGCTGTTAATCGCAGTTACGCTCCGGTTCGGTTCAACTCTTCGACGACTATGTAGAAAGGTGCGAACGACCGATGATGATGTCTGATCATAAAAGTCGAGTTACCTCCATCGCGTACCGTTCGGGACTCGACCGTCCGCGAGGAGCGAAAACAGGAGGACTCGGCGAACAGGGAACAGGGTTTTATAATCGCGAAAGCATTTACGGACCAGTTGAACAATTTTCCAGAAATCGAGCACTCGCTGAAAACAGTAGTAGTGTCAGAGCGATCCATTATATTTTTTTCTCTATTTACTCTTTGTTCGTTTATCTCATTTCGACTTAGGCGTCGAGCGTTCCGCCGCGAGTCGACGAGCATTTTAATCGTTCGATGCCCGGGTCCGCGCTTTCTCGACGCGAGGCTTTTTCGAACTGAACGAAAGAAAGGGGACGACGGGGGGCGACGTGGAGAAGAAACTCGCGGCGAGGAGCGACCGGGGGTGACAAAGTCGGGCACGTCGAAGTACACTTATTACGTTTCTTACTATTATTCTTAATAATTGTATTTATGTTATTCGCTATTACGAGAAGGTAACGAGCAGCGAGGAGATTCATGTGCAAATCGGTGGCGACACACACGTATTCGTCGGAGACCTCAAACGAAATTGTTAGTCGAGATTGCGTGAACCTTTGTTTCTTAGACTAGCCCACTGTAAAACGATCGCGTCGCATCGACACCTAAGCGATAATTCGCTAAGCCTGCTGCTCTCCAGAGGAATGGATTCGCCGTTGAAAATCGTTCGACAAGAAGCATTGCGATTGTCGATGAATTTCGAGCCCGATCTCGGAGAAGCAGACGATGATCTTTCTTTCTTTTTCTGTATTTTCTTTTTTGTAATCTTCGCGACGATTGAATGAACGAAAGGGGAAGAGCGAAGGATTAGAAAATACGCGCGACGGTTCACGGTTGAAAAATGTAAGACCGTGTGTGTGTGTCTGCGTATGTGGCGTGCGTTTGCGTGTGCATGTGCGGGGATGAATGTGTATAAAGACAGAGAATCCCGGTTTATTACGCGTCACGCGTGCGATCATTGATGTTCGTGAATTTTGTCCTTTGATTTCTCCGTGTTCGATGATTCGCGTTCTCGATGCCGATCTTAAACGTCTAGCGATCAGCGAAGAATGTCCGATACACCGCATACGTCGAGAGAGACCATTGTAATCCGCGAGGATACACCGTTCTACATACTGCCCGATGCATTATTGTGATAAAACCGCGTAGACACCGAGAAGAGACCCTCGAGAACTGCTCTCACGTTATTTTCGGACCGATCGGTTCGGGGAGGGGCGGAGGGGGGAGGTGGTAACGATCGGTAAACGCAGGTGGAAACGCGTGTGAAACGTACGTGCCATAGAGCGACGTGGCAAAAACCAGAAGAATATTCCGAAACACGCCGAAAAGCGACTACACAAACCTTACTTTTCACGCGATCGGTCTCGACTTTTCGCTCGTATCGGAGACGGTTCCGTTACGTGTACAGACACCGGAGAGAGTCTCGCCGTTACATCCTTACAGTGTGCTAGCATCTAACCCGAGAATTTTATTTAACGACCGACCCTATGAAATAAATTGAAATATTCAAAAGGAAACACAGCCGGTCTCGATCTTTCCCCTGCACCTGTGAACGCGCGATTGACGCGCCACGCGAGGTACAGTCGCTCGCAAAAATTCAGCGTACACCTTCTAAAACGCAACAACTTTTTAAAAAAGGAAATTAAAAACTCGTTTTCCCTTTTTTTAATTTTTTATTGGGCCTATAACGCGGAAATTAGAAAAGTTTGAAATATAAAATCGTAGATAACTCGGTAACTTGTATGCATGCTGAAAAATCTATTGCAAATGTTACTTCTTCTTTTTTTTTGTTATCCCAAATAACAGCAAAATTAAAAACAGGCGTTTCAGTAGACAGGGTCTAGTAGACTAGATGCTCTATCATCTGAAAGATATTCAAGTTGCTTAGTCCAGTTTTAAAGTATCCTCAATTTTGTGAGACTTCTACTCGTTATTAACACTGGACTTTTACCGAGCGCTGAGCGCGACAGATTCTCTACAACAATTACAAGACTGAATTTTATTCAAACTCTTCGGCAATTTTATTATAATGAACGCTTGATTCAAGAAACTTTTTAACATTTTTTTAAAATTTTTAAAAATTTTCTTTTAATTTTAAAAAATTCTTTTTTCTATGAAGGGTATGCGATGAAAATGTAAAGCCATTTTATTTTCTGTCGATTATCCTTTATTAAATTTGTCATATATTGCGACAGGTATGAAAAAATAGAATTATGTACATCTTATCTTCATTCGATACATTCATTCGACACGTTCATTCATACAACTAGAATTCTTCTCATTTGAAGAAACAACTATCTACCGTGCCCAAATCAGGCATTTGTATTATTGAACATTACAACCTTTCTATTTCTCTATTTTATAAACAAATATCGAACGGAAAACGCATGGTAATCGGGATCGATGAAATACTTTGAAGTACATATAATTATTACCATTACGAATATTACTCCACGTTAAAAATTCTAACATGTCGGAAAACTACCTTATAGTATTACAAAATTTAATATATTTTACGTCAGGTTTCACACAGTTGNGATTATCCTTTATTAAATTTGTCATATATTGCGACAGGTATGAAAAAATAGAATTATGTACATCTTATCTTCATTCGATACATTCATTCGACACGTTCATTCATACAACTAGAATTCTTCTCATTTGAAGAAACAACTATCTACCGTGCCCAAATCAGGTATTTGTATTATTGTACATTACAACTTTTCTATTTCTCTATTCTATAAACTAATATCGAACGGAAAACGCATGGTAATCGAGATCGATGAAATACTTTGAAGTACATATAATTATTACCATTACGAATAACTTATTAACAATAATGAAACAAACAACAAGAAGTATATTGCACGCCAAAAATTCTAACATGTCGGAAAACTGCCTTATAGTATTACAAAATTTAATATATTTTACGTCAGGTTTCACACAGTTGAATGAGAACAATGTCCCACAAAAATAAAAGAAAAAACATAATAACAATATACAGTGGCGGTAATTAAATAAAATATCGCCTACCGTGACTGTACATTAAATATATATATATATACTGCTTATTAACGCGCTTCTTATACTATATTATATATGTTATATATATATGTCTTTTATACCATTGGAACCGCCGCAAACATGGTTATATATAATATAGTATAAGAAGCGCGTTAATAAGCAGTCAGTGAGCAAGTATCGAAATTAATGACGCCGATAACGCTTGCAGATATTCAATCATTCCTAATCGAAACGAGTGATTAATCTCGATCTTGAACAGGTTCCGAAAAGTATGGCCTCCGGAATGCGTTTGCGGCGGTTCCAATGGTATAAAAGACTGAAGGAGGAGATGACCGTCGTATCATCATTATCGCTGGAATCACACTTCCTTTGTGGAAGTGGAAGCGCCCAGCGTCAACTGCGTCCTGCGTCGTCGCAATGGCCGCTTTCTGTTCAGCGGCGACGCTGCGCGTGAAACGTCTTGTCGACGCTGGAAACTCAGGGATTTGCTCAATCGTCCTTTCGGGAGTTGCGGCCTTAACTCTTTTGCTGCGTCTCAGTTCCTGATTCTCTTTGAGAACACGCTGACGGTTGAGATTTTTCCCCTCAGCAATCCACTTCCATTTATAGTAGTATACGACGATTTCTTCCTGCAACATTATAAAAAAAGAGCTTTGAACATATCGTGCATGAAAAATATACGTACGATTATTTTTTTGGAGGAACGATCAACCGCGAAGCATGGATTTATCAACGTGTTTACTTCAAGAAGAAAACTTCTGTTCGACTTTCAAGGTCTTCCTAGAATCGAACGATCGAAAATAGTGGTAGATCTCGATGCGATGATTACTCGAAAGAGCGGAAATAATAGAAATAACAATAATAAGCAAGAAAAAAGAAAAGGAAAAAACTTACGCGATGGAATTGAACATTGAATGTATACAGCGATTCGGAGAGGAACTTCCCCTGGTTTTTTCCGGCAAATATTGCTTTCTTAAAGAGGCAAAATCCTTGCCGTGTACTACATAACCTGCGGCGAACAGCTTCTGAAAAATATAACATAATATTATAGAATATGATCGTGATCTCTTTTCACCTGGTTAACAACTTAACCTACAACTACAGGCATAGCCTGCGTAGTACGCTGATCGGGCCAAATATAAACATTAACGGCGGCGCCCTTTTAAAGTTATAAATATTTGTGAAATATTATATTTATACAATATATATATATATATATAAAATATTATAAATATTATATATATTTATACAAAAATCAGTAATACAAGATGTGATACAATTCGAAACATTCCGGTCGGTAATATTTACGATTGGCCCGATCAGCGTATTACACAAGTCGAATCGAATGGCTCGAAGGCTGCGCGAGCTTGTTTACGTTTTCGGCCTAAAAAATTCTCGAACATTAAATCGTAGGTTAAGGAGTCAAATGTAGAAGCTACCGTTATTAGAATATACATATATCGCCGGGTCGAGAATTAGAATTTCGCGAATCTCAAGTTCAAGCAATCCCTCGAATAACATGTACGAGAAACTTTAACGCGACATATTAGTTTTAACATAATTACTATGATTAACATAACCGCCCGGAGTCGTTGTAATGGTAATGGAAATCGGTATCGTTAAAACAGAAGGAAATAGAATACGATTATTGTTGTATCACTCACCCCGTCCTTTGTGGCCCATTTCGCCGTCAGCTTCTGCGGAGGCCCATTTTTTTTCATATGAGCTAATGCCGTAAGCGGCATGTACCGATTTTCATGCAGGCAATCGCTGACGTATTGGTCGGCCATACCGGACACGGAGTTTGCCAGTGCCTCGTGAAAAGTGATACCTTTCTGGCACTGCGTTTCACACAGCACAAATCTTGCGTACTGAATGTACCAGAAGGGCACTTCAGCGGGCGGTTTCCAGATCGGTTCGTCCTGCCCGCCGTATTCTCTTATCCCGGCACTCAGGTTTAACTGCTGCTCTCTGTTTATAAAACTCCACCGTGTTCTATTAAAAAAAAAAAGACATTTTAATTAGTTCACTGTAGACGCGACGAAATTCTGATTTCTTGTGCACGGCAAGATCGTCGAGACTACCGCAAAACGCGACGCGCAGATATAATATACAATTTAACGTTTTCCTTTTTTGTTCATTTTCACCGATAGACGATCGCGACGATTTTATTCAGAGAACACTTGGCCGACCGAACTGGCAGATCTCACTGTTTTAAATTCAATCGGTTGGCGACCGAACGGATGATTAATGAAAAATTAAAAAGTATGAAGTATATAATACATAAAGTAAATATAATATTATATGAAGTATAAGTTTGCTTTATAATTTTTGTTTAATCGAACGAAATATTTTAATTTTACGAACATTTCTGAGGTTTCTAGCACGGCCGTGGAAACGTTAAGAAAGAAATACAGCGGCGAATAAATACGAACCTTTTTCGGCGACTTTTTCGACGAATTCCTCTGCTTCTTGCTGTTACCCATCTCACAGAACTACGCGAACTTCTTTCGATTTCAAACTCGTTCCGTCGAAGACAAAACTGTTTATGATTTGGACAATCGTCGCGCCAGCTTATATATGCTTACCATCCCTCAGGTATTCGAAAATGCACGTGGTCCATCCTCACCCCCTCCACGTATCCTATATTTTTGCCAATAGCAAAGGATCTTTATGGAAGGAGGTACGCATCCTCTTTATCTTTGCCTGCAATAAAGGATCGTTATGGAGGGGGGCACACGAATTTCGATTTTCCGAAGCCGCCGCTCCTGCTGGCGCAGGTAAATTTCTATTAATTACCCCGGGCCGGCTGTAATGGATGCGACGCTAATCGTACCATCGGGGAAAACACGCAGAAACGCGTCCGTCGCATACTGCAGATTGATGGGCGAGTTTTCTTTTTTCTTTAAACAATTGTTTTAAACAATTTGTTAATACATGCACACGGTTATTGAAACATATAGGTAAGCTTTGGAAAAAAAGAGCGATCGGAATAGAAGAAAACAGATTCAGCTATCGAGGATTAATTGATTCGAATAATTATATTATTATATAATATTATATATATGAGCCATTTATTTTTAAAGTGGCTTTAGTCACTTTACCGTAATGAAAAGTGTTTATACGAAATTATTTATACTGAGAAAAATATCAGTATCCTGAGATAACAAATACAAGAAAATCTTCTCGAAAGTTAGCATCCATATTTTGAAAAAAATAATGAAAGTAACGGTAGTTGTAAATAAAACTTAGTATGATCTTTTTATCTGTAAACAATTTAGAGCGATATCGAAATTCAGAATCCTAATATTTGGGAGATGGATGTGTTTAGCTCTTAACAGTATCGCAAATATGTTTAATTGGAAAACGGTGCAAGTTCAGCTTAGACTGAAATTATTTTTAATCGTATGGTAAAATTTAATTCCGACTGCTGTTATGCTGAATCAAATGTGATGGTTTAACATCGTGTCCGAAATGTGTAGGGTGTTTTTATCTATCTATCTATCTATCTTTGGTATTGGTAATCGGTTATTGTACAATATTTCATAAACAATAATAAGTATATCATAATTTTGCGTTTCGATAATAAGAACAACAACCGGGAAATTTTAGTATTATTGGCAAATTTTTATTACCATACATACATCGCGTACATCGTGAATATTTAAAAATGTTACATTCGATATGATTATACGTATAAAATAAATGATTAACGAAAAATGTATAATTTCATGGAAATTCTTAATAAAAATAAAAAAAATTGAAGAATTGAGCGCACACCTTTCAAAATGCAGCAACTTTTTAAAAAAAGAAATCAAAAACTCGTTTTTTTCACCTTTTTATTGGGCCTATAACACGGAAATGAAAAAATTTTGAAATATAAAATCGTAGATAACTCGGTAACTTGTATGCATGCTGAAAAATCTATTGGAAATGTTACTTTTTCTTTCTTTTTGGTTATCCCAAATAATAGCAAAATTAATAACACCCGTTTCAGCAGACAGGGCCTAGTAGACTAGATGCTCTATCATCTGAAAAACATTCGAGTTGCTTAGTCCAGTTTTAAAGTATCCTCAATTTTGTGAGACTTCTACTCGTTCTTAACACTGGTCTTTTACTGAGCTCCGAGCATGACTGATTCTCTACAACAATTACAAGACTGAATTTTATTCAAACTCTTCGGCAATTTTATTATAATGAACGCTTGATTCAAGAAACTTTTTAACATTTTTTTTAAATTTTAAAAAATTTTCTTTTAATTTTAAAAAATCCTTTTTTCTATGAAGGGTATGCGATGAAAATGTAAAGTCATTTTATTTTCTGTCGATTATCCTTTATTAAATTTGTCATATATTGCGACAGGTATGAAAAAATAGAATTATGTACATCTTATCTTCATTCGATACATTCATTCGACACGTTCATTCATACAACTAGAATTCTTCTCATTTGAAGAAACAACTATCTACCGTGCCCAAATCAGGTATTTGTATTATTGTACATTACAACTTTTCTATTTCTCTATTCTATAAACTAATATCGAACGGAAAACGCATGGTAATCGAGATCGATGAAATACTTTGAAGTACATATAATTATTACCATTACGAATATTACTCCACGTTAAAAATTCTAACATGTCGGAAAACTACCTTATAGTATTACAAAATTTAATATATTTTACGTCAGGTTTCACACAGTTGAATGAGAACAACGTCCCACACGAATAAAAGAAAAAACATAATAACAATATACAGTGGCCTTAATTAAATAAAATATCGCCTACCGTCACTGTACATTAAAAATATATACAATATATATAATATAGTACACGAAGCTTGTCAATAAGCAGTCAGCGAGCAAGTATCGAAATTAATGACGCCGATAACGCTTGGTGATTAAAATTATTTCACCGGGATCTATTCAATATCAGTCTTCAACGGTCTACTCAGCAACGCCATGCAGATAGTCATTCATTCCTAATCGAAACGAATGATTAATCTCGTTCTAGAACAGGTTCCGAAAAGTATGGCCTCCGGAATGCGTTTGCGGCGGTTCAAATGGTGTAAGGACGGTCGTGTATCACACTTCCTTTGCGGAAGTGGAAGCGCCACCGTCGACAGCGTCCTGCGCCGCCGCAATGGCCGCTCTCTGTTCAGCGGCGGCGCTACGCGTAAAACGTCTTGTCGACGCTGGAAACTCAGGGATTGGCTCAACCGTCCTCTCGGGAGTTGCGGCCTTAACTCTGTTGTTGCGTTTCGGTTTCTGGTTCTCCGTGAGAACACGCTGACGGTTGAGCTCTTTCCCCTCCGCAGTCCGCTTCCATTTATAGTAATATACGACGATTTCTCCCTGCAACATTATAAAAAAAAAAGCTTTGAACATATCGTGCATGAAAAATATACGTACGATTATTTTTTTGGAGGAACGATCAACCGCGAAGCATGGATTTATCAACGTGTTTACTTCAAGAAGAAAACTTCTGTTCGACTTTCAAGGTCTTCCTAGAATCGAACGATCGAAAATAGTGGTAGATCTCGAAGCGATGATTACTCGAAAGAGCAGAGATAATAGAAATAATGATAATAAGCAAGAAAAAAGAAAAGGAAAAATCTGACGATGAAATTGAACTTACCCTGGTCTTTTCCGGCAAATATTGCTTTCTTAAAGAGGCAAAATCCTTGCCGTGTACTACATAACCTGCGGCGAACAGCTTCTGAAAAATATAACATAATATTATAGAATATGATCGTGATCTCTTTTCACCTGGTTAACACCTTAACCTACAACTACGGGCATAGCCCGCGTAGTACGCTGATCGGGCCAAATATAAACATTAGCGGCGGTGCCCTTTTAAATTTATAAATATTTGTGGAATATTGTATTTATACAGTATATATATAAAAAATATTATAAATATTATATATATTTATACAAAAATCAGTAATACAAGATGTGATACAATTCGAAACATTCCGGTCGGTAATATTTACGATTGGCCCGATCAGCGTATTACACAAGTCGAATCGAATGGCTCGAAGGCTGCGCGAGCATGTTTATGTTTTCGGCCTAAAAAATTCTCGAACGTTAAATCGTAGGTTAAGGAGTTAAATGTAGAAGCTACCGTTATTAGAATATATATCGCCGGGCCGAGAATTAGAATTTCGCGAATCTCAAGTTCAAGCAATCCCTCGTATAACATGTACGAGAAACTTTAACGCGACATATTAATTTTGACATAATTACTGTGATTAACATAACCGCGCGGTGTCGTTGCAATGGTAATGGAAATCGGTATCGTTAAAACAGAAGAAAATAGAATATGATTATTGTTGTATCACTCACCCTGTCATTTGTGGACCATTTCGCCGTCAGCGTCTGCGGAGGCCCATGTTTTTTCATATGAGCCAATGTCGTAAGCGGCTTGTACCGATTTTGGTGCAGGCAGTCACTGAAGTATTGGTCCGCCATACCGGATGCAGAGTTTTCCAGTGCCTCGTTAAAACTGATACCCTTCTGGCACTGCGTTTCGCACAGCAGAAATCTTGCGTGCCGAGTGTACAATGAGTACCAGAGGTGTACTTCGGCGGGTGGTTTCCAGATCGGTTCGTCCTGCTCGCCGTATTCTACGAGGGCCTCACTCTTATCCCGGCACTCAGGTATAACTGCTGCCCTTTGTTTATAAAATTCCACCGTGTTCTATTAAAAAAAAAATGACATTTTAATTAGTTCACTGTAGACGCGACGAAATACTGATTTCTTGTGCACGGCAAAATCGTCGAGACTACCGCAAAACGCGACACGCAGAAATAATTCTATTTAACGTTTTCCTTTTTTGTTCATTTTCACCGATAGACGATTAAGATGATTTTATTCAGAGAACACTGTCTTTTCTAACACTTGGCCAACCGAACTGGTAGATTATGATTAATGAAAAATTAAAAAAAGTATGAAGTATATAATATATAAAGTAAATATAATAATATATGAAGTATAAGTTTGCTTTATAATTTTTGTTTTTTAATCGAACGAAATATTTTAATTTTACGAACATTTCTGAGGTTTCTAGCGCGGCCGTGGAAGCATTAAGAAAGAAATACCGCGGCGAATAGATACGAACCTTTCTCGGCGACTTTTTCGACGAATTCCTCCGGTTCTTCCTGTTACCCATCTCACAGAACTACGCGAACTTCTTTCGATTTCAAATTCGTTCCGTCAAAGACAAGACTGTTTATGATTACGCGCACTTCTTTCGATTTCAAACTCTCTCCGTCGATGATAAGACTGTTTATGATTACGCGCACTTCTTTCGATTTCAAACTCGCTCTGTCGAAGACAAGACTGTTTATGATTACGCGCACTTCTTTCGATTTCAAACCCTATCCGTCGAAGACAAGACTCTTTATGATTAAGATAATCGTCGCGCCAGCTTATATATGCTTACCATCCCTCAGGTATTCGAAAATGCACGTGGTCCACCCTCACCCCCTCCACGTATCCTATATTTTTGCCAATAGCAAAGGATCTTTATGGAAGGAGGTAGGCGTCCTCTTTATCTTTGCCTGCAATAAAGGATCATTATGGAGGGGGGCACACGAATTTCGATTTTCCGAAGCCGCCGCTCCTGCTGGCGCAGGTAAATTTCTATTAATTACCCCGGGCCGGCTGTAATGGAATGCGACGCTAATCGTACCATCGGGGAAAACACGCAGAAACGCGTCCGTCGCATACTGCAGATTGATGGGCGAGTTTTCTTTTTTCTTTAAACAATTGTTTTAAACAATTTGTTAATACATGCACACGGTTATTGAAACATATAGGTAAGCTTTGGAAAAAAAGAGCGATCGGAATAGAAGAAAACAGATTCAGCTATCGAGGATTAATTGATTCGAATAATTATATTATTATATAATATTATATATATGAGCCATTTATTTTTAAAGTGGCTTTAGTCACTTTACCGTAATGAAAAGTGTTTATACGAAATTATTTATACTGAGAAAAATATCAGTATCCTGAGATAACAAATACAAGAAAATCTTCTCGAAAGTTAGCATCCATATTTTGAAAAAAATAATGAAAGTAACGGTAGTTGTAAATAAAACTTAGTATGATCTTTTTATCTGTAAACAATTTAGAGCGATATCGAAATTCAGAATCCTAATATTTGGGAGATGGATGTGTTTAGCTCTTAACAGTATCGCAAATATGTTTAATTGGAAAACGGTGCAAGTTCAGCTTAGACTGAAATTATTTTTAATCGTATGGTAAAATTTAATTCCGACTGCTGTTATGCTGAATCAAATGTGATGGTTTAACATCGTGTCCGAAATGTGTAGGGTGTTTTTATCTATCTATCTATCTATCTTTGATATTGGTAATCGGTTATTGTACAATATTTCATAAACAATAATAAGTATATCATAATTTTGCGTTTCGATAATAAGAACAACAACCGGGAAATTTTAGTATTATTGGCAAATTTTTATTACCATACATACATCGCGTACATCGTGAATATTTAAAAATGTTACATTCGATATGATTATACGTATAAAATAAATGATTAACGAAAAATGTA